ACCGTAAGATAATTGTCTTAGTTGCATGTACTTATGTTAAGGGTCAACTATAACTATGTGTTGATTGTTATGTTTTATTCATTATATTTTTTATGAGAATGTTTTATTCATTATATAAATTGTGAATTGATAATTTAACCGAAAACTTTCTCACTTAATGATAATATGATTTTATATTGGTTAATCTGGTTAACCAATTAACCAAACTGATTAAACTTTAGTTTGGTTAATTTGGTTGTTGTATTAGTTTTGACGGTTTGGTTATGATATTGTATTTCCTGGTTAATGAAATTTAGCCTTATTTGGTATGGTAATAACCATGGTAACCATTTGAACACCCCTAGCATAAAGGTTGTCTTGAGAAAACTGTGCACAAGCTTTCTTAATGACCTCTATGTGCTCATTTATGCTCCAAAGGGTATCCTCTGTTTCACGGGGAAAGGAGAAGTCAGTTTGGGATATGGCCTGGATATGAGGATCCATCTCGGGAAAGGATCTTTCAGGCACTCGAGCAATATGCTCCACGAGAAGCCTCAAGTGATAGTTTGGGTTTGGCTGTGGAGTGTAGCATGGCTCTGCCGGATGGCCCGTGAGGTCTGTGGCTAAATCAAGATCTGATGGCCCTTATAGTTGCAGGAGGAATTCTTCTTGATAATGAGATTGTTCTTTAAGTACCCAAGGGTCTGATTGTTCTTCTTAGTAGGGGGGTTGGTACTGAAACCCGACTCCATAGTCTCCTCCTCGTTGGTTTCTCCAATAAGTCTCGGGGTAATACCAATCGGGTGGTGGTGGATACCCCCAATGGTTGGAGAAGCCATGGGGATCCATGTATCAGATCTGCACCAACAAAAAAAATACCCAAGTGAAAAGCAAGGGTGGAAAAGAGAGGATGCATAAAAGTAAATGCTAAAGTAACAGACTTTCACATTTCTACAATAACCTAGAAGTTCCCCGGCAACGGCGCCAAAAACTTAACACGCTAAAACACAACACCAAACTGCGACCAAGTGTAATCGCAATCCGGAAATGCAAAATAGTGGCAAGTTCTATTTATCAACCCGAGGTCTAGATCTACTGCCTACTCTGTGATGATTTATTATCTAGCAGACTAAGTTGAGTGAATGTGATTTTAGCTAAAGCAGTAAGAAAGCAAGAAATGGTTCGAGGTTCTTAAGCAAGGGAAGAGTCACTCGGGAATGAGTCCCCCTAGCTCCTTAGTTATGTCAAAGTTGTAATTACATTTGGTTGATTTACTATGGATTAAACTGCAGAAGATCCGATAGTAGCTTGGAATCTCTTAAGCTGACCAAGCCCTCTCAGACAGACTAACCGGCAGGCGACTAGCCTTCACCGGGATAGACTGTTGAGACAATGAACACAGAACTCCACTACTGGAATTGGATTCCAGTATAAAGCAGTAAATCGATTAACTCTCACATAATCGATTAACTACTACCAATTGAAGAAGCTCTAACAACCTAATCAAATTCTATCTATCTCAGGTTGCAGCAGAAATCAGGAAAAGTTGACCAGGCATCAATTGACTCAATCAAAACACTTCAATCGATTATAATCAAGCAGTATCACAAACCAAAAGTCATTACAATCAATTTCTCTAACACATGGAACTAGGGTTCTTCATACCCAAGTGAGAGAAGGTTCTACTTCACAGAGAGAGAGAGAGAGAGAGAGAGAGAGAGGAAAACAGAAATCAAAGCAGTCATACTCATCAAGATGGAAAGAATCTGCTGTGGGATGATAATCTTCACTCCAAGGATGAAATCCAAGCTTGATTGATGAAACCCAGCTCCAAAATCACCTCTAGGGTGTGTTCTTCGCACTTTCTTTCTCTAGGACTCTTTTCTAGATCTGAAAATCGATCCCCCTCTTCAAAGACCCGGAATTGGGTTAAAAATCCAGTTCTGCCCGATCACACGACCACGCCACACGGTCGTGTGAAATTTAGGTATGCCCGTGTGGCTCTCCAAAACGCCGCATTCGATTTAGTGACTCCAGGTACGCTACACGGCCAAAACCACACAACCATGTGGAATTTAGGTCTGCCTTTGTGAACTCCCTAGGAATTCCACACGACCAAAAATGGCCCTTTACACGGTCAGTGTGGCTTGCCCGCGCAAAGGGGTTCCACACAGCCAAGTCACACGGCCGTGTGGAATTTAGGTCTGCCCGTGTGGAATTTCCAGCTTTTTGTCAAACGTCCCAACTCCGTCCAATTGGCCCTGAACTCATGCCCAAATCTTCCTTCACGTACTAGGACCTGAAATATAAAAAACAAGAACAACCTAGCATGAAATCGACCTGAAACACGAGAGATGAGACTTAAACGGTACATGAATGGTGGAAAAAACAAGTAGTCGTGCATTATGATAGGAACTCCCAATTCTCTTGCAAAGCCCTTTTGATAATTTCTTAGCATGTACCCGCCGTAACATTCAAATAATGCCCTTAGATTTTCCCTGTTTCGGCATGTGCTTTATAAATTGCTTCGACACAAGATAAGAAATTATCTCACCAACGCATAAATGGTTGAGAGTTCACATTTTCATCATCTTTGGTAAAATAAAGTCCACTACGGAGACATTCATAAACAGCTCTACCATAATTCTTAGCGGATAAGCCAAGTTTTGGTTTAATAGTACAACCCAATAGGGGATGTCCATACTTGTTCAATTTATCTCTCTCAAATTTAATACCGTGAGGTGGGCCTTGCTATGTTTAGAATAAGTCGGTTTGATATCCATGACTTGTGGAGCAATGTTGAAAGTGCAGGGGCAGATCTGCAGAGGCAATTCTATATTGCCCATAATTTTCCCTTGTCTCCCCATCGAAGGCTTTTACCATCATGGTGCTCGCCCATAATCTTGAGTTCTTGCATACCTACGTCCCAGGATATCTAGACACCACAACCTCATTTTCAAGTTCCCATCTCTCCGTAAACTTAAATTAAAGGCCAGTAGCACCCACCTTCCAAAGGCCCTGGGACTGTTTATACAGAGAGAGTAGCAAAGGGATATTATTCGAACCGAGTTTGGTTTGTCCCGCCTATCCTCTTTTCCCACGAATGCTCTATTTTGTTTCTTTTGACGAATTCGCTTTTCTTCAATTATAAATAAATAATGGCTATTCTTATTTTTTGTCGATCAAGTATCTTTATCCCATTCCACTTGTACAATCGATGCCACAAAGATAGCCAACTATATTATTAAAGAAATAAGGAAACAGACGACGATTTGGCGCCCGGTATCAGGAGGTGTGAAAAGAGCAGCTGCAAGAAGGGGAAAACCCATAAAAAAGATGATTGTTCGTGGAAGTTTCCACAGAAAGACACATCGTTCTAGCAAACAAATCACAATTCCAAGTACCTGGAAGCATACCGATGCAATGAAAGAAATACGAATAGCTAACATAATATAGTCATAGATCTTAGGTTGTAAATTGATCATGAGCGAATATTTTGATGTTGCACCCACGAAGTATGGAAATGGCAAACATTGGGAACTACCCAATGAGGAGTTAGGAACAGGAACAAGGAGAAGCGAGAACCACTTAAATAGAGGAATGAAGAATCGATTGTATTTCGTCCTTTGTTGCCCACAACAACTTGGGATTAAAAAGTACCAAATTTGATGACTTACTAAAAGTAAGACGAAGTAAGAGCATGCTATTAAAGACGTTGCAATATATGTCGAAAAGGCCTCCGATAGGAAGAAGTGCACCAATCCACTTTTTCAAATAGTGAATAAGGATAATCGAATTAGTCAAGTATATTGCATAACCTCTGCTGTGGCAGCTCCTTTAGCTAGCAAGCTATATTAGTTTGGGCATTTCCATCGCGAAGGATTCAAAACGAGACTCATTCGATTGAGAATCATTCAAGGGTCTAGTTTGACTGGTGAACTAGCTAAAACTCTAACTATTATGAGTTTCACTCATTCTATTTGAAGTTGGTTATCCCCTTTGGTGCTTTCCTGGAACATTTCATTGACCTAAAGCATGATACTCTTTCTTTTTATAAAAGGTTGCTAAAAGTGATTTTGTCGAATCAAGGCTTAGGGGAAAGAAAGATAGGTTTGTTTGCTTCCAGCTGGCGGATCAATGCCACAGCTTCCCCTCTCGGTTTTCCTAACAAAGGTTTCAGTGGGTACCGCGCTTGCTACTATACTAACAAAGTGGAGCAATAGACGTTCCACTTGTCTTCTTCCTTGCCCTTTTCGGAGGATAGATTCCATTAAGAATTAATACCCAAAAAGTCGTTGGCCGAACAGGAAGAGGTAGTTTACTTCCTACACATGCTTAGGGGGAAGATTTTAGATGGGTTTGAATTGCGCAAGGAATCGATTTCAGACTGAGCGAGTAGCAAAGCAGTTGCAAGCAAGTAGGAGTCCCAAACTAAGACTAACATAGTAACTGCTATTAATATTCACTCACCCCCTTTGGAACTAAATTCCTGAATTGTACTATTCAACCAAGTTTGCCAAGCTTATTCGAAGGAACGAAGTAGTAAGCCCAAAGGAACGAAATTGCTGGATTGAAAATAGATGAATGGGAACTAGCAATTTAGCTTCTTTCAACTCTCTATTTGAATGCAGCTACTGCCGTGAGGAATGCTTTATTTATCCAATACTAGCTATTTCAGTTATCACTTCCTAATGTTATTTTATAGGGTTGATAAAAATTACATAAATTGAGTGACCAAACGGGTAATTAATCGAGTAACAAAATAGAAGGGCAAACATAACTATATTCCATTAAAAAAAAAAACAAACGAAAAACAACGTAATAAGATTATAAGAAAGAATCGGCAAATTGCAAAGAGGAGTTAGCTTGAGACTTGAGAGCACCAACGCCATCCCCTCTTCAGCTTTCCCCGACTTATTCCACCCCAGAGAATCCAAGCTTTTACCGACTCAATCCCCTCGCCTCTCTCTACTGATTCTCCCAAATTTCGATTCCACCTGATCCAGAGGAAGTAAACTTCCATGGCGAACAGCAATCTTCCTCGAAGGATTATCAAGGTAGGGCACTATTCTGATCTTTCTCTCGCTGCTTTGAAATCAATCTATTTCTCTCCTGCGTTTGCTGCTCTGTCTGTTCGAAGATTTCTAGCTTTAGATTGTTCTCATCACTGGGTTCGAATTTTGTTTGTGTAGGAGACGCAGCGGCTCCTCAGCGAACCAGGTTTTCTTTCGTCTTTCTTTCCTATTTCCCCCTTCTCTAGTGAACTCAACTAATCAGTGAAGGCCTGGTTTTTGCTTTAATTTCCGATCCCTGTTTTTCGGTATGCTGATGAGGTGATCTTTTGGGTACTGTCACCAATCGACTCTCTTGATTGGTTGCTTCGGTTTGAACCCTGACGTGGTTGCTAGTTATCTCCCCGATCTAGTAGATGAGAATTAGCCCAGCCGTACTTATTTTGGGCTTAGGCAGTTGACGATCCCCGAGCAGTTAGAAACTGGGGTTCCGGCAATCGGATGGGAAAGGGTAAATTGGGCTGTGTAAAGACGTTGTGATTTGTGATGAACTATGTTTCGAATGTGTCGAGTTTAGGAGCCTTTTTATCTTCGAATTCTCAGCGAGTACATGTGGGTTTAAACTTTAAAGTTAAACGTGCTTGGTTTGGGGTATGAAGTGTAGCTCTTGAGCAATGATTTTTACAGGCTCCAATGTATAATTTGAAATGTTTGATTTGTTCTAGTGTACTGTAAAATTCCTTCTTTGCATATGCGACGTGTAAAAACTCGTCCTATCAGTTATGCTGAATGGTTTGTTTGAATGAAGGTTTCTTAACTGTTTGGCTGCAGCTCCAGGAATTAGTGCTTCTCCTTCGGAAGATAACATGCGTTACTTCAATGTTATGATTCTTGGCCCAACACAATCACCTTATGAAGGTTGGTGCAAAATCCAAATTCTCTTTCTAATGATGTGTTTGTCTTGTCATGCAGAATATAGCTAATGTAAACCATGACATTGTGCATTGTGCTTCTGTATTTAATCTTAAAAGTTTTTTTTTATTGTAATCTTGCTTTGGTTTGCTCTTTGGGGATGTGTGAAATTATGGGGAATAGAGTGTTACAGCAGTCTATATGTGTCTCTTTTCTTTTATGTTTATCAGAAATTTCTTGTCAGATCTGATCTATTTACTAGTTTGTTTCCTACTGTTTCAAATGTGTAAGATACCTTCCTGATTGCTATTGTTCATTAATGGTATTAACTTAATTCTTTATTCATCCATTAACTTAAAATTTTGTATATCATATTCTTAGGCCTATGTTAACAGTTAGTTTTGTCACTGAGATTCTTGTTCCAAAGTGATTCTGCCTTTCACCTAGTGGGTAGTGGTTCTGCTCACAAATTCATACCGAAAGAAGATTGACTGATATATGGCTTCTGTTTACTGTTGCTTCGTATTGTAATTCTTTGACATTCAATGATCAGGTGGTGTCTTCAAGTTGGAATTGTTTTTACCTGAGGAATACCCTATGGCGCCTCCCAAGGTATTCAGGACCCTGCGTTAAATGAATGCCACTCCTTGTTGATGTTTGATATGCAATGTTACACAAACAATTATACATTTAAAAATTGTTAGATAAACAGCCTATCTAAACTTAGATCATTACCGAATTAATTTGCTTTGTGTATTTCTCATCTAAGCTAATTTGAATGAATGAGATATTTCTCGTTGTGATTGTCACTGTAAAAGGCTGTTAGTTTATATAATTTCCAGCATTAAGTTTGCCTCTTGTTTTATAATTAAGTGAAAACTGCTGTTCAGCTACATCTGCAGACAGGCAGTTCAGTACTGTGCCATGTTTTCATGTTGTACTTGCCATTGTAAAAAGTTGTTACATGATCTAACTTCCAGCATTTGTGGTTTATGTCTTTTTGTTTTCTAATTAAGTGAGGCAACTAATGTTCAGTTGCATGTGCAGCCAGGCAGTTGAGTACTGTAGCGTGTTTTCCTGAATACTACTTGATTTCTTTTATTACAGTTTGTTGTTTTGCTTAAAATGGAGTGTGCCATGTAACTATTAATTCACATGAGGCTGGGATGGTGATCTCTCTCAATAGTGTTGTGGCTGGGACGGTGATCTCTCTCAACAGTGTTGTGTTTGCCATGCTAAAAAATTCTCATTTTTCCTTACTTGCTCCTGGCTTGTTGCTAGATTCTGGGAAGGTATTTGAGTCTTAAAATGTCAACCAGTATGGATACGCTGCCATTTCATATCCCTCTCTCTATTTTTGCATTGTGATTTGTGTTGTTCCTTGAGATTAGAGTAGAAAGATATATTTTATCACCAGAACTTGCACTCTGGAATTCGTCTCCTAGTTAAAATTATGTGGAATTTTTTGGTGGTTGGTCATAGTATTTGGTAGTTGAAGTGACATGATGGTGGGATTGACGGTTTCCCTTGTGTTTATTTATAAGTTTACTATACTGCTTTGTATTTTATCTATCAGTTTGTCTTTTCTTTTTACAGGTTCGCTTCTTGACCAAAATTTATCACCCTAACATCGATAAGGTGTGCATTCTGTCACTCACTCTTTGACCTCCATTTCTTTGTCATAATATCTGTAGTTACTGAACATGTTTTCTTTTCTTCAGCTTGGAAGGATTTGCCTTGATATTCTGAAAGATAAATGGAGCCCTGCTCTCCAAATTCGGACGGTTCTGTTGAGGTGACATTTGGAGCTGAGAGTCAATTTGCTCTCTTTTCTTATTCAGCTTTGAAGTTTGTTTACCAAGTCGCTGAATGAATGAACAGTTGAAATTGTGCAAGATTTTGTATTTCAATGCATGCATTCCAGTATTAGTAGGTCTAACTACGGTTGACCTTTTGAATCAGCATCCAAGCTCTCTTGAGTGCTCCGAATCCTGATGATCCGCTGTCTGAGAACATTGCAAAGCACTGGAAGACAAACGAGGTTGAAGCTGTTGAAACAGGTACCGGTAGTGACTGCATGTAGTTTTCTACTTTCGTTCTGGTAGTGTCCATTTATGCTGAAGCGCTTTCCAAGTTTGAGTTCGCCAGCGGAAACAGCCCTGGGGGAAACAGCCTAGATAATATTTCCTAACATAGATTTGAGCAAGAACCTGGAATGCCCCTAGCCGAGAGATTGTGTTAATGAAGCGTGTAGTGAGCGAAACTAAATTGGTCCTCCTTAGCTGTTATCCATAGTAAACTCGGAACATTTTACTTCCTTTCTCACTGTGTACCGCTGTGGAACTGTTTTACAGCTAAAGAGTGGGCCCGTTTGTATGCAAGTGGAGCATGACGAGGAAAGGGAGCTTGGGCTATCCTGATGGCTTTGCTATTACATTTGGTTGAGTGAATTTGGAATGTAGTCTGTTGGTACCTAAATTGGAAAATGGGATGCTTAAAATGTATGCACTGAACACCATCAGATACATGAATCCTTTTAGACTCTTCATGTCCCAGAATCGTAACAGTACTGTGTTTTTAGTATACTGGGCAGCCTTTGAGACCTTAGTCATGGCATCATCAAAGGTTATTATGATGATGTCCGCTTGACTTGTGACGCCTCTCAATCTTGCTAGTCTTGTTTCAATGACAGTTTGTTGCCTTCTATGTTACTACTCTTTCAAGCCCGCCACTAGGAACAATACAGAACTCTATCCTGGTTGCTCAACTCGATTCAAAAAACTAAAAATCGAAACAAAAAAGCGAGACATAAAGTAAAACCGATACACATCAGGCAGATTTGATTTCTCACCTGAGCTCTTCCTCTTGCGATGAGCAGCAGCAGCAGATTGTTCAGGAAACAGACGATGCACCCTCAGTTCGTGGATAAACTGGTAATAAAAAAAAATTGGGTAAATACAATTTAATATCCAATCTTTCATTTTAAACAATATAATATTCAAACCTTTTCGAAAACAATGTAATATCCAAATCGTCAACTTTTCGTTCGTTTGACCGTTAGTTGAGACTTCAAAAAAGTTCGAAGTACGACGCTTCATCAATATCCATTGATATCTTCTCTGAAAAACCATCAACATATCGTGGTTCCAAACCCGAGAAGTCCATGACTCCACCATGATGGTATAGAATATCTAAATATTCAGTCATCTGCAATGCCAAAACAAGAAAACAAAGTTGTATTGTGACAATTTCCCCTAAACAAAGCTTTTTTGAAGTGTTAACCAACATTCAAATGGACGGAAAGTTGACGATTTGGATATTAGATTGTTTTCGAAAAGGTTTGGCTATTATATTGTTTAAAATGAAAGGTTTGGATATTATATTGTATTTACCCTAAGATTTTCTCTTGTAATTCTTTGAGACCTATTTAATTTTTTTCTTGATGTTTTTCCAGTTCATGAAGGTTTCTCGAAAGAGTCTCCATAAGTTCTTTCACCGCCTTCGCTCGGTCGTAACTTCCCCTCGCAACTTTTTGGAGATGCACCATACACCAGCCTAGGGCCTCCGTATGGTCCAGAAATGTCTCCATGTTGTCGCCTATGGCGGTCGATTCTAGACGGAAGAATGTCGTAGGCACTTCAATTTCTGGTTCGGATGGTAATCTCTCTTCAATAGGTTGTATGAAAGAAGGTGGAGTGACTTTGACTTGGTACTGACCAGGCGATGAGGGCCCTCCCCTTCCCCCAGCCGTCATCTGAATGCGATGCTTCTCTTCGCTTTTGAATCCCTTGAAGAAAATTTCAACCTTTCTCTAATCCTCAATACCATGGTGAGGGCATTTCAAGAATAGGGTATTAAATCTCTCCCATTATTCTCCCAAAATTTCTTTCTCCTTTTATTTGAATGTATAAATGGTTGCTCTCATGCTAGCAATTTTGGAGGGAGTGTAGAATCGGTTCAGAAATTTGTTGCAAAGCTCCTCCCAAGAAGTAATGGAGTGATGGGGATGACTCATGAACCACTTGCTGGATTCCCCAACCAATGAGAAGGGGAAAAGATGCAAACGAACCATTTCCCTAGCAGCCTCATTCACGTTGAGCCCATCTACCAGTAATAGGAATTCCTCCACATGATGATGCAGTAGTTCATCCTTCAATCCCTTGAACTAGTAGTTCATCCTTCATTGTTTTACGCCTTGGTGGTATGTGAGCTTGTTGTTGTTGATTTACCATTGGTGGATGTTGATTTCTTGCAACTCTTCTTATGTTTCGAAGGGTTCTTTCGATTTCTGTATCAAGAGGTAATATCTCCAAAGAATCCCTTCTTCGCATACAAAGGTGCTACAAGAAACAAACTCAACAACCCCGTGACACACAAAGTTGGATAAAAAACACATACAAGAAACAAACTATGAAAGTAACAAAAACACAAACAAAAAACTCAAACAAAAACATAACACTAAACAAAACAAAATAAAGACTAAACTAACAACTTAAGTTGTCTTGATTGATTGATTACAAACGGATACTGCTGATTAACAGCTAACTCCTAATTTTACTATCCATTGCACAATTATGGATGCAAATATAAAAAAGGGAAACATTTCTTCTCTGAATACTTCCATCACGCGGATTAAGTGTAGTGCTTTCTTCTTTGTGTTGAAGCATCTTTCTTTTACTTTTCGTTTAAGTGGCCATTGACTAGCTTTGTTCAACACTGTCGACTTCAATTTGTAACTTCTGACGCCAATATGCATGTAATTCTGCTTATCCGTGTCTGTTTGCCAGCAGCGAATTTTTTGGTAAATACAATTTAATATCCAAACCTTTCATTTTAAACAATATAATAGCCAAACCTTTTCGAAAACAATCTAATATCCAAATCGTCAACTTTCCGTCCATTTGAATGTTGGTTAACACTTCAAAAAAGCTTTGTTTAGGGGAAATTGTCACAATACAACTTTGTTTTCTTGTTTTGGCATTGCAGATGACTGAATATTTAGATATTCTATACCATCATGGTGGAGTCATGGACTTCTCGGGTTTGGAACCACGATATGTTGGTGGTTTTTCAGAGAAGATATCAATGGATATTGATGAAGCGTCGTACTTCGAACTTTTTTGAAGTCTCAACTAACGGTCAAACGAACGAAAAGTTGACGATTTGGATATTACATTGTTTTCGAAAAGGTTTGGATATTATATTGTTTAAAATGAAAGGTTTGGATATTAAATTGTATTTACCCCAAATCTTATAGATAGCGCAGCTAGTCGCGGATAAGGAGACCATTTCCCCCTCGCAAGAAGACGAAGAGTCCATTAACATCTACCCACAATGGATTGAAGCTCCAATGATTGGAGGCCAAGCCAGACCGGGGAACAATACTTCCTCTAGTAGGCTGTATAATTTTTAGTTTTGTTTGCTTGGTGACAAATAAAGTTCAAGTAATGAGGTTATTTGATGACTAATAAATTATACTATTTTAGATCCCTATTTGATGACATACTTTTCATAGTTTTCGTATCTTTAATGAAATATTAGTCTGAAATTGGTTGATAATTGCTCCAAGGTGTGTTTAGTAGCTCTTATGATAACTTTTACTATTTTGATGTGCCATTTCCCTATCATAGCTGTCGTTTTCAGGGTTTAAGATAATCTCGTATTTTGAAAGGTATCATTCTTAGATTCTGTCCCCATGAGAGGCTAGTTCGTTAATTGTGTAGGTTTTGAGCTCTGAAGGTTCTTTAGACATGTAACGTTCTATTTGTGGTTACATATCCTATTTGTTTGAATCATCCTTATTATGTTTATTGCATTATTATGTTGCGATTATATCGAGTGTCCTACCGAAAAAAAGGATGGTGACAAGGAACCCTTGTGATTTTTCGCATCATATGCAATACACATCATAATGCATCATTTTTGCTACGTGACATATGCAAATTGTACTATGGTACATCCACCCATCTCCCTAGCACGAAACACACAAGAGTAGGGGGATGGCAGTACATAGAAGTATAGTGAGTGTAGGAATCCACTGTGGATTCTATGTATATATATATATATATATATATATATATATATATATATATATATGGAGGCGACTGGTATGCTCCAAGAGCATATATATGCATGTTATCGTATTTAGATGAGTCTAAGGAAAATCTAGGGGAAGCTTTCTTACGCAGCGCCTTTCCCTTATGCTTTTCCCTTGTCCAATAGTTAGTTTATCACCTTACACTTGAAGTGAACTCTGTATCCTTAAGAAGGACTTCTAAAGGCGGAACATCTTTGTCCATAATTGAGCACTCAATTTTCTCTTTCATCTTGCTCATATGTTTGGTGTTACCGATTTGTAAAATAAATTATTTATTGAACACCCTGATAACTATCTCTGCTCTGGCCAAGAAAGGACGAACAAACATTAGCAAGTATGCATCTTCTTTTTTCATTTCTAATTCCAAATAGTTGGGGTGAAAGATAAAGGGGCTCACTTGGGTGCATAAAGACCTCATCACACCATGTGAAATATCATTAGGAATTATTTGCCATGGTGATCTCCTTGTGTTGGTTCTTTTATGGCATCTAAAGCGAGTGACTCGTATAAAAATCTTGGAAAGTTGAGGAAGCAACTTATATGAAGTTCCTAGGATCTTCTCTGTGGTCCATCGATATGATTAGAGTTCGAGGTTTGCGTTCTAGTTCCTCTTCCAACATCACTGTCATTGATATGCCCTTGTTTTTTGGCCGATTTATGGATTTGGAGAGTTTCGCTGTCAGTAGAGAAACGTCCTTGTAAACTTATATATCCGACTAGTACTAAAAAGGTTCTATTTATAGGCTCTTATATAATGTTTTTTGGGAGAGAAATTAGGGTAGAAACTCCTTCATCCGAATCCTTTAGGTTTAGAAATTCTTCCCACAACCCTTTGGTATGTGTGTAGTATTGATGGAATGTCATCGATCCTAGCTTGCATTTATCACTTTCAATTCACCCCACAGGTATTCCGAACTAACATGATTCATAGTTGACATCTTCAAGTCCTGCAAAAAATTAATCAACCAAGAAAGCACCGCAATGTTACAAGCATCTTATAGCAAGAATTTCTCATATGTAACTTGAGGCATTTGACTACTACCATACCATATATGAATACCGATAGTTAGAAACACGTAGTTTAATTAATTATTATATTTTCAGTATTATTAGTGTTAGTCTTAGTCGACAAATCAAGTGTTGAATGGTTTAGATTTTACTATAAGGTTTTTGGGTCTATTTCATATATAAGTGTACTTTGGGTATACGTCAGAATTAAGCGGCGAATATTACAAGAAGTTATCTCCCAACCCCTAATCTCTCTAAACCCTTTAAAGTAGTCTTGCCTATCCCTA